ATAATCCTCCTTCAAGGAGGTGATGCTTCATCCTCCTCCTCTTCAGTAAGGGCTGGATTTAGTGATTCACTTCCAAAGAAAAGAGAATGGAAAAAGAAAGATAATAACTTTACAGTGGACAAACCTGGCAGATACCACTTTAATCACGTGATCAAGAATAACATCATCAGTGATAAGTCGTGTCTTTACCGTGTCCTCCCTGTTAGGTGTGAAGGGTACTTCATCTCTGTGGTATTCTTCTCAATGCCCTTACTTCGTCTAAACACAGGAAAACATTGGATAAACTAAACTAAAATTGAGGGATATTCTACAAAATACCTGAAGAGTACTCTTGAAAACCACCAAGGCCATGAAAAACAAGGAAAGACAGAAACTCCCATGATTGGAGAAGACTAAAGAGACATGATGGCTAAACGCATCCTGTGTCCTGGACTGTATTCTGGTACAGTAAAAGGACATTAGTGGAAAACACTGGTGGATTCTGAATAAATTATGTGATTTAGGTCATAATATTGTTCTAATGTTAATCTCTTAGTTTTGAGAAATGTACTGTGGTTATGTAGGATGTCAATATTAGAGAAAAGCTGGGGGAAGAGTATACAGAAACTCTCTGTGCTATAATTGCAACTTTTTATTGATTTAAAATTATTCCCCCAAAAGTTAGAAAAATGAATCAGTGTAATTCACCGCTTAACAAACCAAAGGAGAAAATCATCTTGAAGATGCTGAGCATCCTTTGATAAAATTCAACACCCATACATGATTTAAAAAATAAAAGAAAACTCTCAGTAAAGTAGCCATAGAGAGCAAATCCTGCTGTCTCATGAAGGGTATTTGTAACAAACCTACAGCTAATATAATAATATATTGTGAAGCGTTGAAATCTTTCCCCCTAAGGACAGGACTAGAATTAGACTATTGCCGGTGCCATTCAACATTTTACTGGCATTTACATTTACTTCTGTAGGGCAAGAAAAAGATTGAAGAGCATAAAAATAAAATAAAAAAAACAAGTAAAGGGTCTGGCCCCGTGGCCGAGTGGTTAAGTTCGCGCGCTCCGCTGCAGGCGGCCCAGTGTTTCGTTAGTTCGAATCCTGGGCGCGGACATGGCACTGCTCATCAGACCACGCTGAGGCAGCGTCCCACATGCTACAACTAGAAGAACCCACAACGAAGAATACACAACTATGTACTGGGGGGCTTTGGGGAGAAAAAGGAAAAAATAAAATCTTTAAAAAAAAACAAACAAAAAAAAAACAAGTAAAACTGTCTTGCAGATGACATTATTGAGTATGTAGAAAATCCAGAGAAATTTATCAACTATTAGAACTACTTAGCAAATTTACCAAGGTCAATGAATTCAAAGGTAATATACAAAAAGTATTTGAGAAGGGAAGTGGGCAAAATGGTGGAGTAAAGACCTCCTACCACAACTAGAAGGACGTGCAACTAAGATATACAACTGTGTACAGGAGGGATTTGGGGAGATAAAAGCAGAAAAAAAAAAGACCTCCTAAAATTCTCTCCTCCATAAAAACAAAAAGGACACAGGTAAAAAGGGTCAGAATCAACTTTTTCAGAACTCTGGAAATTAACCAAACATTTACAGCAATTCTTGGAGCATTTAATGAAGAAAAGTGGCTCAATCTAGGTAAGAACAGAGACTTTTGTGGTGTTTTGACTTGCTCTATTCCCATCCCACCCTCCTCAGCTCTGGAGTAGGTGAGAAAATGAACATTCCTCAATTATGTTAAAAATCAGCAGAGTAGCAACCTCTGGAGGGGGAAGAACGGGGTTGGAGCTCCTTTCAGGCCCCTTCCCCCAACCCTTTCCCAGAAACAGTCATTATTTTACCTGTCTGGGGATTCACTGGCAGACCCCATTCACAGGGCTCGTCACCAGTGTGACCGGTATTATCCCAAGGTGTGTTTGTTGATAAAAATAAGAGAAAATTACTAAATTTCACAGCTACCTAAGGCAGTAGATATAATTGGGAAAAAACAACAGGCTAGCCAAAAAGCTTAAAAGTAAGAGCTCAGGAATGAGCTGTCTGTAGGGGGCATTGAAAAGCTCCAACATATTCTTTGGAATCTGGAAGTTCACCCACATTCATAGGTCTCTGCATAGAACCAAGGCTGTATGTATGCTCAAGAAGTGAATATGTCACTAAAGAAACTGAGCATTAGGAAAACTTTTCTTCTTTAATAAAATTTGCTCTTGTTGAATGTTCTTAGATGATTTGTTCAGCTGCTGAAAATTCGAGGAGGTGGTGGAAAGGGACTTTTGTAGGGGGTTGTTTGAGGGCACTGGGTGCATGGGTGGAAAAAGGGGCATCAAGAAGTGAGAGGGGCAAAGAAAGGGAAAGGGAAGGCCATCCATCTCCCTTCCTACATGAATCCAAGGTTTTGTGCTCAGTGCTACTGACCATCTAAAGTTTCAGACCAGTGTCATCCATTAGGACAATCTGTAGTGATGGGCATGTTCTATATCTGCTCTGTCCAGTACAGTTACCACCAGCTACGTGTACCTATTGAGCACTTGAGATATGTTTAACGCTAATGAGGAATTGAAAATTTCATTTTATTTCATTTTAATTATTTTTAATTTAAATTAAAACCTGTAGCTAGTTGCTACCATATTGAGTGGTGCATCATTAAGCCAGAGGTTGGCTAATTTCTTCTCTAAAGGGCCAGATAGTAAATATTTTAGATTTTGAGAGCCATATAGTCCCTGTTGGAGCTATTCAGCTCTGCCATTTTTCCACAACAGCAATCACAGATGTTAAGCAGATGAATGAGGTTGGCTGTGTTCCTATAAAACTTTGTTTACTAAAACAGTCAGTGAGCCTGATTTGGTCCATGGCCATAGTTTGCCAGCCTCTGCTCTAGACCATTCAGATCCAGATGCCCCAGGATATCAGAGGCTTTAGGGCTTACATATTCCTATGAACGGATCCTTTTACTAAATTATGGCCTCAGATGACTTCCTTTACTTTCTTATCAATTCCTTTAAGGTCTACTTTTCAGTTTCATATTGGATTGAACAGATTTGAAAAGCATGTAGCTATAGTGTTTCAGGATTTCAAGTTCACCACTCTGCTGAATATGATCTATGATCTTTTTTTATATGTGGTGACACTAGCTTCCTTCAGGTCCCTCAAATTTAAAACTTGGATGTAACTCTGACTCTTCTCTCTTATTTATCATAAACATCCAGAAATGGTTGGAACTTAACTCCTTAGGAGTATTTTCTCTGCCTTTTGCCACATTTCTAGTTCAGTGCTTCATTATTGCAGAATTAAACTATAAACATCCTCCTAAATGATCTTGCCCATGGCTCTTACCCTCTCAAATTCATCTTCCATGCATATGATACAATGTTACACATAAAATGCTGATTTGCTCATGTTCTTCAAATCTTAAAACCTTGTGTCCGGTGCTTGGAGAAGTTAAATTCCAAGTTACTTTGTTTAGCATGACATAAAACCACGTATAATCTACCTCTGGAGTCTCATCTCTAACTGATTTCAGTTTTAAATCACTAAGTTCATGATTTTTTTCCCACAAGATTCGTGCTCGTTTTCATGTATTTGAACTTTATTCCAATTGCTGACTTGACCGCTCAACTTCAAGCATGCTGGATAAGAAGTGTCCTCTGTCTACATCAATATTGCCTTTTGCATACTGCCTTTTCAGTACATGGCACATTCCCTCACTACTGCTTTGTCATAGAATTGACCCTCATTAGATGGCCAAAATCTTTGCAGGCCAGGGACTTTTCCATAGACATTGCCATAATTATGTTTGTAGCTCATTATGGACATTTAAAATGCCCTTTAATAAGTGGGTGCCCAGGGCAATATCCTGGCAGCCACAGGATATGGGAAAAATGAATTGCTTTTGCATATATGAATCAGGAAATACACCCTTACTTTTCTCGAGGGAAATAAATGTTTCTTTAGTTAACATTTAAAAAAGTAACCTTCCATTGGCTTTCTTAAAATGAAGCCACGTAGTCTTGTGTGTGTTAATTATTATGTACGGATCATGTATTGATCACATAAAATATATTTTGACGTTTCTGCCATCAAAATGGTCATATAAAAAAATGCTTTAAACGTATTTTGTGCTGCCCCATGTAGTTGCATTTTATAGTTGATAATTCATCTGGAGATAAAGATGAATTTCTCTTTATCTGAATTTATCTGAAAAGGTATGTTATCTTAAGGCTGGTCTTCACATTAGCCCTTTTCAGTAACACAGTGTAGGTTCATGATTCACAAACTCCTCCCATAGAGTATCTACATAAAAACTTTGTTTTTTCAGCTGTTTCACTCACTTTATCATCAAATTGTTTATGTTGAGAAATGCAGCTTAAGTGAATGCAGGAAAATCTATGGAAAAGAGGAGTAGTACACAGCACAACTCCCAGAATTCACACACGAGGTTTCCAGCCACTGAGTATCAAAGGAATTCTTTGAGGAAAGTCTTTGAGGAAATTATTCCAGCCCTGCCTCCTTTCTGAAGGGCAATAGACTCTCAGGAATATTCATCCAATGGGTAAAAATATTGTGTCAACTAGCAGGTCCAAAAGTCCCACATGGTAAAGAATTCTCTGTGGCTTAGAAGTTAACTTTACTTAGACAATGAGTTATAATCTGGCTTCAGGCTGTGACTTCAGGGAATAGATATCATTGGCCAGAAGTCTCTTAGATTGGAGGCTCCACTAAATATAGATGCCATTCTGAAAGACTAATTCTGAATATCACTCATTTTCAGGTCGCTTTAGTACTGAATATAGACGTTCAAGGAGATGAAGAGATGTTTAAGTGACAAGGCCTAGCATCAAACGAAAGAAATCTACTCTTCTGTTATTATTTTCACCTTGGGGAAGTGTTCCAAGGATAAGGATGATGAGGATTTTCCTCTGATCGTGTCAAGAATTTGGCCTTCCCTATCATCTTGCCTATTTATGGAAAATATTGTGTGCTCTTTCCGTAGTTCCACAGAAGAACTGGTTCTCTTTTGTGTGAAGGATTACTGACCTCAGACAAGTTCATCAGGGACAGGAGACAGAAACTGTACCAAAAAAAGCAAGCAATTTGGTAGGTGAGGTATGATTTCTCTGAAGGTTCTTCCTCGCTCTTTCCAGTTCTTTTCAGTTCTGTTTCTCTCTCCTCTTCAGATCTTCTGCTGTCCCTCTAAGGTATATCCTCTCAGTTTGAATCTTCTTCCCTTTTGTGCCTTCTGTTACCATTCTCTCCTGCATTACTGCGCTTTGCCTTTCCCTTTTGGTGGGGTCTTGTTCTTAGCTGCCCAGAGAGAGCACTTTTCTTTCCTCGGTAATAATGAGCACCGGCAACAGAGAATTTTGCAGTTTGCGCACAAACTTTGCCTAGTCTGGGGCCCTGGACAATTAGAGAAAACTAAAACCCACAGGCTCAAGCTTCCTTTTCTGAGGAAAAAAGGAGTGAACACTTCAGAATAGATAGTAGTTTCTTGGTGGCCTGTGCTTGTCCTCTTTGAAGGACCCAAATTCTAATGTTATTGCAAAACTGCCACTGCACTTCAACCGTGGCCTCTGCTTTGGTGGGTGGGGAAGGGAATAGGAAAGAGTGTAAGAGCCACTGTAGTTTTGGGGGATTAGAAATCTATTGCCTGAGAGTTTGTCTTCTGTGCATCTTATCATCAGCTTCCTCACCCTTCTCTTCTTTCTGGGTTCTGCCTCATAAACATAGGAGTGCACACTGTCTCTCTGAAAACCTCAATTCTGGTCAACATATCCAGTCCCTCCATCTGTGAACAATGGTGTTCTCATCCTCCTTAGCCTCAAGATCCTATTCAGCTATCAATTCATTAACTTAAGCATCAATTAACACTTTCAGAGTCATTTCAGCAAAGTAGACCAAGTAGCAAGCACTTGTTATATTTCTCATTTTCCAAGAAGGAAGCCTCACCTACCTGTCACCTTGGCAAAGATAAACAATAACTTGTGCATAAAGAAGTTAGATTTGAAGCTCAGATTCATGTGCTGTGTCTCCCAGATTTGTTTCAATTTATCTATAGATACACACTTATTGTAATAAAATGAACTGAATTTTAGCTATTGCCTGTGGTGATTAGTTTGGATGACCGTTATTGGGATGGCTGTGAGGCCACTGGGGAAGGGTGGGAAATATGATTGGAAATGGAGTTAATATTAGATAATGGAGGCTCTTGAATATCAAGCAGAAAGTTTAACTTTATTCCATGGGCAGTGACTGAGGACCATTTTAATGAAACACAAACCTTTTCACATAGAGATATCACATAAATGCAAACCAACTAATGTGGGAAATTACATATTTTTTCAGGGACCTGCAATATTCTCATCCATAAAATAGACATTCTCTTTCATTCTTACCAAATTCCCTCCCACTTTTCCATGCACATAATTGCACACACTGAAGCCTGCTTGCTCTCAGTGATGACCGCTACGTTGCCATCTGCCACCCACTGCTCTATGACCAAAAGATGACCAACAAGCTCTGTAAAGGACTAGTGTGGGGCTCATGGGGCCTGGGGTTCCTGGATGCATTCGTCAACATCCTACTAGCTATGAGCTTGGACTTCTGTGGGGATCAATCCATCCCCCACTATAGCTGTGAGCTGCCTTCTCTCTTTCCCCTGTCCTGCTCTGATGTCTCCACCAATTTTACTGTTATGCTCTGTTCCAGCCTCCTGCATGCCCTTGTAACTTGTGTCCTAATTGTTTTTTGCTATACTCTCATTGTCTCCACCATCTTGAGTATCACCTCCTCCTCAGGTAGAAGCAAGACCTTCTTCACCTGCTCCTACCACCTCTCTGCAGTGCTCCTGTTTTATGGTTCAGCTTTCCTTCGTTATTTCATGCTAAACTCAGGTTCACCACTGGAATTGATCTCCTCTGTACAGTACAGTGTGGTCACTCCCTTAGTGAATCCCCTCATTTATAGCTTGAAGAACAATGAGGTGAAAGCAGCTGTGAGAAGGACCTTTAGAAAACATGTCCAATATTTCAGGTAGCTGACCACAGTCAGAGGATGATGGGTAATTTGTTTACTAGAGTAAGATATTCTGGTTTGGTGACCATAGGAGAATTTCTTGATTGCTTCTGATAATGAATGCAGAAAGGAATCTTAGAAATTCATAGAGCTAGCCAGGTGATCAAGAGACCAATATCAAGAATGAAAGAAAGGAATATTTATTTTCATTGCTGAGTAGTAATCCATTGTATGACTGTTTCAGAGTTTGTTTATCTACTACCAAGTTAAAAACATTTGGGTTGTTTCCAGTTACTGGCTATTTCAAATAAAACTGTTGAAAACATTCACGTACAGGTTTTTTGTGTGAACATAAGTTTCAGTTCTTGAGGGTAAACACAGAAGAGGATTTGCTGTGGCATATAACAAGTGTAGGTTTAACTTAATAAAAACAAAATTTCAAAGCTGTTTTCCAGAATGGCTTTACCATTTTACATTCCTACCAGAAATGTATGAAAGATTCACTTACTTTGCAACATTGTGTGTACTGAGCATTGTATTTAAAATTAAAAAAAATCGTTCTAATAAGTCTGTAGTGGTTTAATTTGAAATAAACTATATCCCTGAAAATAAGTGCACTGGAAAACTTGTGAAAGCAGAATAAGATTAATAATTTTGTACCATTGTCACTTATCTGATTTTGATAACTGTACTATTCTATTTAAGACAATCTTGTTTAGGAAAATTAGACGAAGGGTACATAGGAACTGTCTGTACTTTTTTTTTGAAAATTACATGTGATTCCAAAATTCTTTCAGAAGATAAGATTTTTAAAAAATATATTAAAAACTGTGGACTATGGGTGACTAGAACGTGTTAATGTAGGTTCATTGTAGTAAAAATGTACCACTTTTGTGGGGGATGTTGATAAATGGGCAGGCTCATGCATAGAAGAAGAAATCTCTGTACCTTCCTCTCAATTTTGCTGTGAACCCACAACTGCTCTAAAAAATATTGTCACATAGATAGAGTAAAAGTAAAAGGATGAAAAGAGGATAAACAATGCAAACTCAAAAGAAAGTTAGAGTGACTATATTAATGTCAGACAAATTCAGCTTCAGAATAAGAAATATTATCAGTGATAAACAGGGAGATTTCATAAGTACAAAGGATTAATACACCAATAATACATAAGTATCCTAAAAAGGTATGCACATATCAACAGAGTTTCAAACTAATAAAGCAAAAATGAACATAGCTGAAATATAAAGAGACAAATGCACAATTATAGTTGGAGATTGCAACACTCCTCTCTTGATAATCAATAGTAAAAGTGGAAAAACAGTGTATAACCTGACTGCAGGAAATGAGTGTAGAGAGGACCTGAAGAACAATATAAAATAAATTGATCTAGCTGACATTTAGAGAACAGTAGCAAAAAACAGCATAATACACATTCTTTCCAAGCACACATGGAACACTGACCAAGATGTTTTATTTGAGAGGAAAACCAAACTCAACAAATATGGAAGAACTGAAGTTATATAAAGTATGTTTTCTGACTACTACTAGAATTCACAGTTTATTCTAGAAATAAATTAAACATCAATAACAGAAAGAAATGCAGAAAATCCCCCAAATATTTTAAAATCTAACCACATTCCTATAAATAACAAATGGGTTACAGATGAAACTACAAGGAAAATTAGAAAAAGTTTTAAATTGAAGGGTTGAAATGTAGCATATAAAAATATATGGGGAGAAGCTAAAGCAGTGCTTATAGAAAAATGTATATCAATAATTATTTCTATGAGAAAACAAATATAGTCTTGAATAAATCATCTAAGCTTCAATCTTGAGAAACAATAAAAAGAGAGGCCAATTAGATCTAAAGCAAACAATTGAAAATAATAAAAATGAAAGCAGGAGTGACATCATCAAGGTGGCAACATAGGTCATTCTCAAGTTCAGGCTCCCTCACCAGACGACCAACTAGCAACTATCCATAGACGAGTCACCACTGTGAAAATCCCAGAACCTGGGGGTGAGGCTGAAGCACCTCCCTGGACTTCAAGACTGAGAAGCACTGCCTTAGAAGGGTAAGAGAAGATACTACACTCTGACCACATTGCCCTTCTGCCAGGCCAAAACAGCTCCATGCCAAGAGGTCCCTCTTGGGTCTATAGTTTTTCTAGCAGGAAAAAGAGAGCCAAGGTGGACATCCAGATCCCCAAGGGTTGTGGCACACTTCCTGGGAGACCCACTTAGGTCTTACTTCACAGGGATGACTGAGGGAATCGATGGGGCTTGACCAGTGGGGATCAGATACAGACAGAGAAAAGGGCCAGGGCTCATAGCAACCAGTGCCCAGATGTTGGTGAACAACATTTCTGCTTGCAGTAGCACCCAAGCAGAAATCCAAGCCAGCAGCTCTGCCCATCTGCAGAGCCAATCTGGTGGCCCTGTCTAGCCAGGTAGCTGGTGGGCAGATCTTCCTGATTTATGTCCCCAGCTATTAAGCTGTACTAGCCAAGGAGACTGTTCTACGGCCTGGCTCCAGCAGGGAGGCAAATTCACAGCCCCACCCAACTGCTGAGGATAGCTTACAGTTCCAGCCAACCAGGAAGCCTGACCTAGAGTCCAGGTAGCTGCAGAGCCAATCACACAGCCATGCTTGTGCAGGGAAACAAGCTAAAAGTCTTGCCAAATGTTAACGTAAAAGTTAAGTATAGTCTCTGGTGCTACATAACCAGGGATCATTAATAGTGACCGTGGACAACCTCAGAACCCAGTCTATGGCACCACCTAGAGGTGGAGCCCAGCCTATAGTCTGCTCTACAGAATAGCCCAGGCTTCAACCTTCCCAATTGCCTAATGCAGCCTGTGGCCCTGCTCAATGAGATAGCCCAGACAGCATCCCTGCCTGTCTTCAGAGCACAGTCACTAGCCCACTCAAAAAGCTCAGGGGTAGTTGTACTTATATCAGACAAAAAAACTTTAGTCAAAAGCTAACGAGACAAAGAAAGTCATTATATAAAGATAAGGAAGTCAATTCATCAAAACTATATCACAATCATAAATATATATGAACTAAATATTTGAAAACCTTAATATGTTAAGCAAATACCAGGAGATCTGAAGGGGGAATAGAAAATACAATAATAGTAGGAGATATCAATATCCCACTTTCAACAATGGATAGCGCACCCAGAAAGAAACTCAATAAAGAAATGTTGGACTGGAACTATATTATAGACTAAATGGACCTAATAGACATATATAAAACATTCCATCCAACAGCAGCAGAATATATTTCTTCTCAGTCACACATGGAACACTTTTCAGGATAGGGCACATGTTAGATCACAATACAAATCTTAGCAAATTTAAGAATATTGAAATCATATCAAGCATCTTTTCTAATGACAATGGTATGAAAGTAGAAATCAACAAGATGAGAAAAATGGAAAAATCTACAAATACGTCAAAATTAAACAACACATTCCTGAACAAACAATGGGTCAAAGAAGAAATCAAAAAATATCTGAGACAAACAAAGAAGTAAGCAGAACATATCAAAACTATGGAGTGCAGAAAAAGTAGCTCTAAAAGGGAAGTTTACAGTGATAAACACCTATGTTAAGAAATAGCAAGATCTGAAATAAACAACCTAACTTTACACCGCAAGAAACCAGAAAAAGAAGAACAAACTAAACCCAAAACTAGCAGAAGGAAGGAAGTAACAAAGATCAGAGTGGAAATAAATCAAATAGAGACGAGAAAAAAAAAAAAGAAAAGACAATGAAACTAACAGCTGGTTATTTGAAAAGATAAACAATTGAGAAAACTTTAGCTAGACTAAGAAACAAAGGAAAAAGAATCAAATAAATAAAATCAAAAGTGAAAGAGGAGACATTGCAACTAATACCACAGAAATACGTCGGATCATTAGAGATTGCTATGAACAATTATATGCCAACAAATTGGATAAGCTAGAAGAAATGAATAAATGCCTATAATCATACAATCTATCAAGATTGAATCCTGAAGAAATAAATAATCAGAACAGATCAATAACAATAAGGAAATTGAATCAGTAATCAAAAACTTCTCCAATATAGAAAATCGCAGGACCAGGTGGTCTCATGGAGAATTATACCAAATATTTAAAGAAGAATTATGCCAATCCTTCTCAAATTCTTCCAAAATTGAAGAGGAGGGAACACTCCCAAATGTATTTCATGAGATCAACACTACCCTGATAGCAAAGCCAGATGAGGACATTAGGAAAAAAGAAAACTATGGACCAATATCCCTGATGAATATAGATGCAAAAATCCTTAACAAAATATTAGCAACTTAAATCCAACAACTCATTAAATGGATCACACACTATGATCAAGTGTAGTTTATCCATGGGACGCAAGGATGGTTGAGCATATCAATATTTGTGATACACCATATTAATAGAGTGAAAGGTAAAAATTATAGAATTATCTTACTAGACACAAAAAAAGCATTTGACAAAATCCAACATGCTTTCATAAAAAACAAACTCAATGAATTGAGTATAGAAGGAACATAATTCAGCATAATAAAGGCCATATATGACAAGCCCTCCTCTAACATCATACCCATAGTGAAAGGTTGAAGGCATTTCCTCTAATTTCAGGAGCAAGATAAGTGTGCCCACTCTTACTACTCTAATTCAGTATAGTACTGGAAGACCGAGCCAGAGAAATTAGGCAAGAAAACAAAATAAAAGGCATTCAGATCAGAAAGAAAGAAGTAAAATTGTCTCTGATTGAAGATAATATAAGCTTATATCTAAAAAATCCTAATGACTCAGCAAAAAACTGTTAGAACTGATCAATGAACTCAGTAAAGTTGCTGGATACAAAATCAACATACTCAAATCAGTTGCATTTCTATACTCTAAGTATGAAATATCTATTTCTATATCAAACAATCTATTCCTGAAAAAGAAATAAAGAACACAATTAGATTTTAAACAGCATGAAAAATAATAAGATATGTAAGAAT